CTGGACGTCCAGAATTGTGACGACTAAGAGCGTTAACAATCCACAGGCCAAATTGGGATTGGTCTTGGAAGAAGAGGTGACTGCACCTTCAGTACCAAAATCCGACAAGAGAGTGGAATTTGGGTTGGGATTCTCAGATGAATTACTGAGAACGAGCTTGATGGCAGTGTGGGAATTGATGAAGCCATCGTGGTGTCCTAGTCCCAACGCTGACTCAATATTACGGGCGACACAGGACATACAGAGGGAACTGAATGCGGACTGTAACCTGCGTGACCTCAACATCATATATAATGTGATGATAACAGCCTCTAAGAGCAACGGAGAAGATAGAGTGGAGTTGCCTGGCTGGGGACCAGAAGACTGGGTCAAACCTGGTAGCTGTCTGGCGGAAGTCTGTGGACTAGAGGGTCACGTTTGTGGAAGTCTAGACTGTGTGAAAATCCTGGAGAAACAACACAAGCAGTTGACGGTATTGTTTGGAAATGTAGTGATGAAAGCAAGAACGGAAACGGAACTGATAGCAGATTGCGATGGAGGAACCGATGTGAATCTGGTGACAGCACTAGGATTCTACAGCATGTTTGGTTCTTTAGAGTCACTATTGCATCTAGAACAGAAACATGAGATGGTCACAGCCATCAGCGTAGAAGTATTCCCAGGAGTTCTGCAGACTGAGCAGAAGTATATAGGAAAATGGAGGGAAGCAATCGAAACGGAGATGAACATCAGACACAGCGAAACTTATTGTAGACCATCAGGAGCACGATATTTGGTGGGTTCAATTTTGGCTCCAATGTGCAAGAGCAAGTATCCTGTACATTTCGTAGCTGTGGATGTGAAGAGTACAAGAACGATTGTGGATCAAGCCTTTTCAGTGCCGAAGTGCGTGAGGTTGGCAAGAATGTCTGAAAAGTCTTACGAGTTACTGTGTAAGATTTTCTCAGCAGTTCCAGAAAGAACCAAAGAGGAGTTGGAGTCAATACTAGGAAAGAAGTTCATGGGATATGTGAGCGGGAACTTCAGTGACTTTGAAAAACAGAAACAGAGAGGATCAACTGTCACAGATTACAATGCAGTAGATGAGAATGATGAGATCCACCGAGTGATGATGGAAGTGGAGCCATTGCTGGAAGCTTCGGGAAAACGGAATTGGAGGAGCATCATGTTGACACATGACGAGTTTCCTTGCCACTGCTTGCTGCAGACCTGGTGGTATCCCAAGCGTAGTAATCTGGTGTTGATCTGGGACTCTGGAGAGCTGCTCTCCATGGGTTTACCAGATTCATCACAGCCCATAACAATAGTGATAGTGGGAGTTATGATGGCGATATGATGGCTGGAAGCTCATGTGAGAGAAAATAATAGACAGGAGGCACCGACGAGAGAACAATTGCAGAAATTAGATTGTCTAAAAGATTTAGATCTTTTTGAGACAATGTGCAAAGTTCTAAACACTGCCGATGGAAGTGAAGAAGATATGGGCAAGAAAACGATTGATGCCATTGTTCAGAGCTAACATGACTGCATGGTTGTACGAGTATGCGAAAAAGCATATGTCGAAGCATGGCAGAGTATACAGTGAATATCAACTGGACATTGGGGCAGGAGCTTTCAAGCGAGCTTTCGTGACCCATCGGAATGCAGTGACCACCGCTGTGAAAAGAATTTCCAGGACGAGCGAGCGTAGTGGAAATGAGAAGGCAGAGATGCTGAAAGAAGATTTGGAGAGAAACGTGACGTTGTGTCTCCACAACAGCTTCTGTAGAAACAGAGAATCAAACGTGGATCCCCTACCTTGCTGTAAACAGAGGGTGGAAGAGCAGAAGTGTTGGAGGACGGCTTCCAACAGCGTCAGGATAGTCAATGACGTGCTACAAGACACGGAAACCGAGAGTGCGGAGTCAGTGTCACAGGAGGAGGAAATGGAGCATTGACGAATGGTCGAGAAAACAAGAGGCAGCAAGAAAGAAAATTAGAAGAATTTAGAAGTTTTAGAACTTCTAAACGACGAAAAAAGAAGAGAACAAAGGGATGATGAAGAAAAGTTAAAACTCAGAATTGTTTTATGTGTGTGAAAAACTCAAGTGAGAAACCAAGCAACCAAGTTGTAATTGAAAACTGAAACATTTAAGTTGAGTTTGGAAATTGTTGCATTTATAAATTTGCATTTTGGTTTTAGTTGAAGTGGCTTTAGAGACACTCACTTATTATTTATTTAGAAAGGCTTGAGGGGAGAGTATATTTAAATATTCCAGCCTGCATGATTGTTTTTAATCACTTAGGAAGACTGATAACTTTGTGGTGACATGAAAAACTTGAGTAACTTCTTGAGGAGGGAGGTTGTTGCATTGTTCTTTCTAACCACAAAGTTTCTTAGTTTTAATACTCAGGACAATAGGCAAGCAAGATTTCCGAAGGGAAGGAGCATAGTAGGATAATTTTAGCTTGTTGGTTGGCAGGACTGTCCTGCAAGCCAACACCTTTTAAATCTAGGAGAAAAAGTTTCAATCGGGATATTGACACTGGAAGTCAGAAAATATGTTTTATCTTAAGTCATATCCTCAATGTGCAGATTAATGAAAGAATTTGAAGGCTATAGTGATGTAGTATGATGCCATTTATATTCTGCAGTGAGTCGATGTGACGTAGGTAAAAGTAATTTCGTGCATTTTGTAAATTCTGTTCGATGACACTGTAACCATTTAGAACATTGCGCGATTCAATGAGGACATTGACCGGACTGTCCGGGGAGTATGTGACATTCGACCAGAATGGCCAAAATGCAGTCTCTGCAGAATTCAGGATTTTAGCAGTGAACCTTCCGGATTGGCGATTTAGAACGGATAAGGACGTTATTTGAATGATTGGCCAAACGGTGAAGGCTAGAAGATTCTGGAATTCTAAATTTTAAATTTTCGAAGTGATGACGTAACATTTCTGAGAAATGTTAAAACGGCCATTTTGGCTAAAATAGCAGAAAGAAACAGAACAACTTTATCTGCGATTACGAACAGTACGAAAATCGAGACTAAAAAACAACAACGAACTACCGAACAGCAGAGGACGTTCCGAGTTGCAACTATTGTGCTGTTACAATAGTTGCAAGGCCGTTGCGAACAACGGTGAAGGGTAAAAACCAGCCCTCCGAGTTAGCGTGAACCTGAGGTTAAGGAGCTTGATTCGGCGGATTCAAGAATCCGGAAGGGTCTCGGGACGGAAACTTTTATTAACTCACATAAACTTTTAGCATCCTGTCATGTCCTGACTTGAATTTAACTGATATTTTGATTAGTTTTGACAAGGATGAGGTGCTAGGAGTTGGGGGAAAGGGTTGATCCATCTTCGATGGAGATGATGATTTTTATCTACTGAACAAAAACAATAGTAATATAATAAGTAGTAGCCCTGTTTTTAGGAGTGACCTCGTGGTCTGGGGATACAGAGACCCAGCCATGAGCTCACTAATTTTGCATGTAATTCAGTTAATTTGAGCGTTCTGGTCGAAGCCGGAGAACAGTAACGTTTTTGTCAGCCTGATGTAAGAAAGACCACCGAAAAGTACTGGCTTGGTAGAGACGGTGAAAAACATGCAAAGCTCTGTTTAGACGCTAGCCAGTCGTCTTAAGACTTAGTTTTGTTATCCGTCGATATGTATCTTCCGGGCGAATGTTACATTATTGAAGAAACGTAACCCGTATCGATTTTAATTGAAAAGGACTTAAACACTTGTCATCTTCTTTTATCATTATCACTTCCATATCTAAAAAATTCCAAGGATTTTGACTGGAATACATGATGAAGGGACTCATGACTGTAACCTCGGTTACTATGATACTTTTGACCTTCTGATTACCTTAAAAAAATAGTTTTCTACTGTCATCATGAGCAAAATTGCGATACTGCTAGGAAATCATAGATAGGTGAGAGGAAAAGATGACACCGAAGATTGATGACATGGCCTATCATGCCTAAAATGTATAGGAATTTCTAGATATTCGAATTTTATAAACTCATAGGAATAAAAACAAAAATAGCCGGTTGCTGTGCAAGTAGCACAGAATGTCCGACCATATTTTCAGAAAAAAAAAACATTTTGCTTTTTTTCCAAGTTGATGTCTTTTGTGTAAGTCGTGTGATAAAACCACTATACGAACGGTAAAAAAAAATTAGTGAATTAGCATAACGAATCCAATGGTATTCAAAAAATGAAATTTTTGCGCTAATAATTTTTAATGTTTGTGAAAATTATTTTTTTTTGACAGAGAAGAGCTAAATGAAGCTTCTTTTCTTTTAAGTCAAATTAAATTTTTCAGCCTAAATTATTTATTTGCAAATATATTAAACGTTACTCGATCGCAGTACTCGCTCGAAAATAGACGAAAAATCAAAAATTTCAAACTGATTTTTCTCGACATAAGAAAAAAAATGGGGAATTTTTTTAAATGTGATTCGAATCACGACTGAAATGGCTTTACTATAGTATATCACTCAGCCCAGTCCGATGATTATTTGTGGTACCTGATTTTGCGTGGAAAATAAAAAGAAAAAACTATAACACCCGAATACAAAGTTCCTCCCCACAGTATCTACTGTCCTTTCTTCTGTTTCAGAGCCATGGGAGATAAGAAATCACCAGACAGCTTAGCGCCCATCCTGTGGGCTGTTGATAGGCAGCTCTTGTAGAAATAACTGTATAAGACTCCCTAGTGCGTGAACAGAATTAGCACAGGCTAGGTTTGTAGCCCTGGAACTGCTGTAAAAATGTGTCGTAGTTTTTATTGAAAAAATTTGTTAATGCGAAATAAGTTATGTCTCAGATGTAAATTATATCTGCCTTGACCATGTTTCTATTGTTATATGTTCCGATTTATTAATTTCCCAAATTTTTTGGCTGGACAATGTGATGAATGACACTTGATGTAACATCAGTTTCCTTGATAATTTTAACCTTTGATTATATTTTATAAGCTATAAATGACACGATTAATTTCAGTGCGAAGATATGTATAAATAGAAGAGGAAGAGAGAAATAAAACATGTAGTCTAAACACTCGTATTGTACTAATACTAAAAGGCGGAAGCCGTATCATTGAGTCGTCTCAGTGATTCATGATGCCGAAGCTGCGAGTATGTGGAAGAGCCTGGATGATAGGATCGGACGACTTGTTTATCCCTAGCGGCTTAAGCATCTACTTCAAAATTTTATCTCTTACAATGGTGCTGACGATGATCATTCTTCTCCATAACAAGCTTCTAAGATGCGATCAGCCTTTCTTTTATGTTTCTCTCTATCTCTATGGATGCCTTGCAATTATAGTGGTAAGAATCGAACTAAAAATTAATTCACACAAGTAAATACAGTAAATCAAACATCATGATTTTTAACCTCTCCCTGTTTAGACGATACTTATAATCGACCTAACCGTGTTCTGCCTCAGTCGTAGAGGAGCCATAATGGATGAGCATCCACGAAGGCGCATTCCCGGTTTATTCATAGCCAGATGTGTCTTAGCTGGAGTGGAATTGGGTTGGACGGGGTTTGGAACTTTTGTCGTAAGCTACAAATTTCCATGTGATTTCACCCCGCATGTTCTCATTATAATTTGGATTGTCGCTTCATGGCTCCTGTTCTTTTTCTTCATCCTCGGAATTCTCGTCATCTTTGATCCTTTGGGTTCTACGCCTTGTGAGTTCATCTATTAACATCCAAATTAACATTAACTATCAACCACCAGGAAATTTGTTCACCTCAAAGGCCTTTGGAAAATTGTTCACCAGAAAGGCCTTAGAAAATCTGTTCACCCGAAAAGCCTTTTCTGTATTAGGTTCAATAAATAGCTCGAAAGATTCTGTGATTACATCCGAAACAACATTCGAATGGTTGCTATGCTAATCGGCTTTAAGCATCTTCTTTTTGATAGCATCTGCTTATTTTAGTTTAACAGAAGCTGCTTTCTATTTCAATGTCAGTTTTTTTAGCATGGAACGCCGAACATCGGTATAGCTGTTGTTAGGTATAATTGTGCCTGATCTGAATGTTTAGGTGATAGTGACGAGTACCCAGTACATGCCAGTAAAATCTGGAAAATGCGGATGCATCTTCTGCGAATGCTCATGTGCAGATACAAATATTACAAGGAGTTCGAAGATGTCGCGAGGCTCTTCCAAACAGAAATGAGACACAACGAGCTTGTGATCACTGACATCACAGCCGGTCTCATGCTCATGTCCAGAAAACATCATCTGGAAGCGGAGAGATTTTTCAACGAGGCGTCCAACTTTGCAATGGAAGAACAGTTGACAGTCAAGGACGCGGAGAGAGTGATGTACTTTTACAAGTTTGCTAATGCAGCTTACGGATGGCCGAATTATATAATAGAGGATAGAGCACATGTGATAGAGATTTGTTGCGCGTGCAGGTAAGTTTCTTTTTTTGTAATAGATTTTTTTTGGTATCAAGTTTAATACAGACGTCCAAACAACGAAGCAAGTCTGCTTCCAGAATTTTTTTTGCAATCTGTCTGTTGGATGCCTGCTAAATAATATTCTCATGAAAAAACCTAAACAAGCGATTACGCCCAGCTAAACCAAGATTGTGACTCTGCAACGTATGAAAGTATCTTTTCATTAAAAGTATGAGTATCCACTAATATGTTGTGGTAACTGAATTAGTTAATGTTTCAGTTGTAGAGAAGACGGCTATGTCAATTTAATCTCGCGAGAGGGAGAGTGCGCATGCCATTACAACTCGAGAACCGTCATCAACAGAGCTGGAATCAGTCGAGAAGACCTAATCGCAATCTCCTTCCAGAACACCATACACGAAACGCCCTTCTATGTATGTATGGACCACGAGTCTAAAAATGTCATTGTTGCAATTAGAGGAACCCAGTCTCTGGCGGATTGTCTGACAGACATGATTATCCATCCTGAGCCGATTGCTTGGGGTTATCCAGACACATTTCTAGGCCATAAGGGAATGCTCGCTGCTGCCAATTTTGTATACACCAAAATTCAGAGAATCGGCTGTTTCGATTACTGCTATGAGAAGTGGCCTGACTATAAATTAGTAGTTGTTGGACATAGTTTGGGAGCTGGTGTTGCTGGCTTGTTAGCATTTATATTGCGTAGTCGAGACTATCTTAAGAAACGTGAAGTCACTTGCTATACATATGCACCGCCTGGAATTCTGCTGTCGAAAGAAGCGTCAGATCATTCGAGAAGTTTCTGCTTCAGTGGTGTTGTAGAGAGAGATATTGTACCTAGATTCTCACTTGGAGCTCTACGGCGTCTGGAACGCGAGTTGAGTGAAGTGCTTTATGAGTGCAAGCAAAATAAATCTGCCATTATTTTCGGATCTGTGGCCGGATGCTTTGCGAAACTTCCGTGTTGTCGGTGTCTTAAGAAGAAAGAACCGGACTTAAAGGATTCCTACTTCCCAGGTGACAAAATATGTGAAAGTGTCGATAATTGCCGAGAAGATGGTCATGATTGTCATGCGGCCACTGGACATCAGTTAGTTTCGGATAATTGTTACTGTCGGGAAGATCCGGCGGATAATTCGAGGGCGAATTCATATGTGATTCCACATCAGTTTCATGACGTTGCAATTCAGATAGATTTAGAAGACGACACTGGAGTGATCACGAAAGAACCGAGAGACCAGACCTCGACTCGAATGGGAGCGTCAACTGCGTTTGGGAGTAATACGAATAGTGGGGCTCCGTCTACATCCAGTGGCGTGACCTCGAAAATATCGGAAATCATTCACCGACAGGAGAGGGAAAGGGAAGCGTTCAGATATGTCCCGAGACGACAAAAGTAAGTTATATTTGCTCAGTTGTTTTTTGTTGCTTTACAAACTCGTTTTTTTTTTGTATCCAGGTTTTTTTAATCAAATGAGTCTACTTGCGAAAATCTTTAATAAAGTTGTGAACAGATTATCAAGGTTTTTGTTGTAATTATAGAAAAGACTAGTATTGGTGTTGAAGTTTGCATTCATAATTTTTTTTTGGCTGGTTGGCAAAAATAATCATTGGCGCTGCTTCAGAGATGATGTGCAAATTGGGCACACAACTCCACTTTACCCTCCGGGTATCTTCCTGTACTTCGAACCATGTCACCCCACCGAAGACCTGACCCTGCTAGAGAAGAATGGCAGACGCTTCACAAAGCTGCCTCACTTTCTGAACTACGTGCGCAAGTGGAAAGAGTATCAGTACTTTTGGATCGAGAGAGAGTTCTTTGATCGGATCTTTATCGCAGACCGAATGTTCACTTCTCATTTTCCGTATACAATGGACTACGCTATAGTGCTGGGTCAGCCGCGCATCGACATTTTGAAGCCAGACAAACAGGATAAGAAGAAATTAGATATTTCTGAGGACAAAGCTGTGAAAGGTACAGCGGGTAAGAGAAAAAGCAAGGATAACTTTGCAGAAGCGTTTCCTAAAAAGGCTTCTAGCTCGGATTTGGAGGAAACTTACGACGTACCATCTGAAGAGTATGCGGAAAATACGAACCTGGACCTTAAAGACCAGAGACAGGAAAAGAGTGCCCAGACCATTTCAATATCGGATTTGGACATGTCAAATCAGTATTCAAGAAGACTGTCTGACATCACTGAACGTCACGAAGGTGGGATCATACTTTGAATCAATCCGAGAAAATGCACCATTGACAAACCCTTTTCTGCTTGAAAATTATAATCAGAAAAAGCGAATCATTTCAAGCTTGACAAGCTGACCTGTATCATTTTCTGAAGCTTTTTGTACTTAATCTTGAAGAAACTTATCAACTGAAAGTTTCTGTTTCAGTGAAGTTTGTGCTTAGTCTCAGAAGAATAAACCATATATAAAACAAAATTAGTTTTTAATGAAAGTCAAATTAGTTCATGCTTGCTTCAGGTACCCGGCTTGGATGGTCCACGCCATATGGTTGAACTAAAACCCTGTTCTAACCTAAACCTACCACATCGACCCTCGAATGACCCATAGCCAATCAAATCAAATCATTTCCTCTTTCTTCTCACAATTGAAATTTCAGAATCGCTAGTTTCATTTCATTATTTGAAAGCAGAACAGGGTTTTCACTTACAGAGGAGTCTAATATTGGCTCAGATAAAGATGCGATAAAGCGCAAAAAACAGAAGAGGCGATGGTCGCAAGAAAAAGATAATACACATCACAGAAATTCGTCTTCGCCTATAAATTTTGATGATCGCGCTGAGTTCTCAAAGTCTCACATAGGGGATGAAAGTGGGGTAACGTATAAAGGGGGTCCCATACAGAAACGAAGGTCATCGCAACTTCCGAGAGAGGAATCAGTTCAAGATGTTACTAACAGGTCACCTGCTAAGAAAACAGAACTAACGTCTTCGAGTACTAAAATCACAGACAAAGGCAATCAAAAAACAGACAAAGGCAATCAAAATACGGACAAAACTTCACCGACTAGTCAAAACAGACTAAGGTTTTCATCTTCCAACGGAAATACAGACCGGGATAAATCGCCAAGCAACCAAGTCACTGATAACCCAAAGTGGGGTCAAATGTTATCATCGCCCAATGAAGCTGTAGATCAGGGTGAAAGGTCACGAGGAAGCAATCAGTTGACGACCCACAGAACATCAGCAAGATCGGACGATAAGGGGTCAAGTCGGAGACGGGTCAAGGTCAAAAGAAAGAAAAGATCACCCGGAGGGTCAACAAGTCTGCAAGTGCGAGGCAGTGAAACTAATGCTAAAAGTGAAGGTAGACTTTCAAGGAGATCGGCAACTGCAAGAGAATCAGAACTAAGCGAGAAGGCCTTCTCAAAATGACAACAGGTCAATCGGTATAGAAAATCGCGAGTGTAGATTTGTTTTTGTAATAGTTTTGCCTATGCGAAGGCAGAAATTCAACGCTTGATTATTTGCTAGTTGTACATGGATTTTGCTTTATACATTTAAATTGTATTTGAATACACACTACATAGGTAGGGTATTGTTCTGGATAATATACCCTAATTTATGTTTAGTACCTCAATTTATAGCTTATGCCAATTTGCAATAATAGTAATTTATAGCAATAATTCTTCCAATTTAAATTATGAAATTGATCTTGTTTTTATGTTCATAGGTTAAAAAAATAGTGCAATTTTGTGTTTGAAGTGCTAATGAACAAAGTAAATTGGGAAGAATCTATGGCGTAGGGTTTTTCTGGATTTTGACTGCATTAAAGAAAGCCTACAGGGTTTGAAGTTTGGTATTATTTTACTTGCGAAACAACTATGTAAACCACTATTACAAATTTTTAACTTGCTTTATTATTACACTTGCGAGCTTGCGATCGTTAGTGTATAAGTACGAAATTTCTTTTTTCTAACCTTACTCGCAAATAAAAGTGATCATTAAAAGGGTTCACTAATATGAAAATTTCTTTGTAGCATTGGAAATCGCATAGCATCTTTTCTCTGCTTTGTTTGTAGCTAGTTTTTGTGACTTATTAAACGTCCCTGGCTGAGTGGTTAGTGTGTGAGACGCATTATGTCTAGGTCGCAGGTTCGAATCCGAGATGTTAATGAATTTTTACTAATTCGAGGCTTATTTATACTTTTTCTTATTGAACTTTATAGAGCTGCTTTTTGGCGTGTTCTCGCTAGTGTTACCGAAGTGCAGCTTCGCCTCAGTGTTGAATCTTAATAACTTCCAGGTTCCTTCGCACTTGGCCTAGAGGTAACGTCATCAATTGTACACCCTAAAGTCTGGGGTTTGAATCCGGGTCGGACCTTTATTTTAGCATGTTAAATTTTTTTGATTTGTCGTTTTTTAGTTATATCGCTTTGGTGGCCACATCAGGAATTTTTCTTGTGCTGTAAGCGATTATCATGGCAGCTGCACGTGTTGTTCATAGCTCTTGCTTCCGATTTCTCTTAGTTTTCACCTTAGGTTCAGGGGCTGCATCTACCAACTCCAGTCGACTGAGGACCACACGACTGTACCAGTTCAACTTCGTCACCTTTTCCCGAACCTCTACCTTCCCCGCAATCAACCCCGACAATTTCACCACACGCGCATTTTTTTTGCTGCATCCAAATTTCATCACCATCTGAAATGTGAAAAGACTCAAAGATCAACGGAGTCGACGAATTGAAGCAAACAAAGCATGTTTGAAATGATATGATAATTTGTTCACATGTAGACTCAATTAAAAATTCATGCTAATTTCCCCAAAATGTATATGCTTCGTTTACATGCAGTTTGTAGTAACTAAATCATCATAATCCACTTTTTATATGATACAGTCGCTTTCCAGCTATCGCGAAGTATTCATAGCAATATTCACCTAAATACAGCGAAATTGTTGCGGATCAATTCTGGGTTGTACCAGATGATTTCCTTTTAAACACAAACCTTTTCAAATCAGTAGTAAAAAGATTTTTTTGTTTTTTTTTTCACGTTGGTTGTCATTTTACCGACTCTGATCTGGTAGTCTTGAGTTTTTTTCTATTTACTACTCTTGCAATAAGCTAGAGTATTGCATTCGAGAATTAGATTTTTTCCCGTAAAGAATTTTCTTCGCAGGACTCTTTTGGACTTAACTGTACTGGTTCTTGTTTCCTAATGAATTCAAATTTCCTAGCATTTCCGACCCACTTAGCCCAAATTTCCTAACGTTTCCGACCCACTTAGCGTTTCCGAACGAATACGTCTGGAATAGCAAAGGTTCTGGGTTATTTATCTGCTGATTTGTTTCCTGCTTATTTATAGGCTTAGTTGTCATATCCTAAAATCCTTTTTAGCTGAGCACATTTTAATTTGACCAATTTTTGGAAATTTTGACCGTTTTTTGGAAACTTTGTCTTAACTCGAAAATTACCGTGCCAATTCATAGATTTAATGTTTAATCGAGAAACACGATTTTAGTAATTATCGTTACCTTAGTGGGCATGACCTTTTTTCACAAAAAAAACTTATGGATTTCGAAAAGTCAAGTTTTTGAAATTTTGACAGTTTCTTTTAGAAAATCTTTGAATGAGTAGAAAATCTTAGAAGGGTTCAAACGAATAATTCGGTTGCGACAATTTTCCCTGCAGAAGTAGTGACTCCTTTGTTTTTTTCAAAGAGATGTTATGTCCATTGGAAAGTTTCTATATCTCAAAAACTTTCCAATCTCTTACTTATTTTTTTTTGTAGAGAAACAACTATGGTTTTGGACAAAGTACAATTATTGAAATTACGCAGCAGCCTAACAATTTCAAAAAGTATCAATCGTACCTCCAGCTTTAGCTGGGTACCTATTAGTCAACAACACCTAGTTTTTTTTCGCGGTTTGCTTTTTGATTTCTTTTTAAGTTCAGTTCATTTCCTTTGTAACGAGGGCAAACTCCAATATCGAACAGCAATGTGTAAAGCTCACGAAAAACTTGACCGACTTCTGGTTCCCTGCGAAGTACATATTTTCATTTATAATCCAGTTTTCTCAAATTAGGTTACATCAAAAAAAGTGCCAGTCATAAATGTTCTAGAAATTCAACGAGCTTTAAGGGCATCTATTTTTTTTCTTTGAAATTCGAAAGTTGAGAAATTCAAATTTCCTAGCAATTCCGACCCACTTAGCCCAAATTTCCTAACGTTTCCGACCCACTTAGCGTTTCCGAACGAATACGTCTGGAATAGCAAAGGTTCTGGGTTATTTATCTGCTGATTTGTTTCCTGCTTATTTATAGGCTTAGTTGTCATATCCTAAAATCCTTTTTAGCTGAGCACATTTTAATTTGACCAATTTTTGGAAATTTTGACCGTTTTTTTGGAAACTTTGTCTTAACTCGAAAATTACCGTGCCAATTCATAGATTTAATGTTTAATCGAGAAACACGATTTTAGTAATTATCGTTACTTTAGTGGGCATGACCTTTTTTCACAAAAAAACTTATGGATTTCGAAAAGTCAAGTTTTTGAAATTTTGACAGTTTCTTTTAGAAAATCTTCGAATGAGTAGAAAATCTTAGAAGGGTTCAAACGAATAATTCGGTTGCGACAATTTTCCCTGCAGAAGTAGTGACTCCTTTGTTTTTTCCAAAGAGATGTTATGTCCATTGGAAAGTTTCTATATCTCAAAAACTTTCCAATCTCTTACTTATTTTTTTTTTGTAGAGAAACAACTAAGGTTTTGGACAAAGTACAATTATTGAAATTACGCAGCAGCCTAACAATTTCAAAAAGTATCAATCGTACCTCCAGCTTTAGCTGGGTACCTATTAGTCAACAACACCTAGTTTTTTTTCGCGGTTTGCTTTTTGATTTCTTTTTAAGTTCAGTTCGTTTCCTTTGTAACGAGGGCAAACTCCAATATCGAACAGCAATGTGTAAAGCTCACGAAAAACTTGACCGACTTTTGGTTCCCTGCGAAGTACATATTTTCATTTATAATCCAGTTTTCTCAAATTAGGTTACATCAAAAAAAGTGCCAGTCATAAATGTTCTAGAAATTCAACGAGCTTTAAGGGCATCTATTTTTTTTTCTTTGAAATTCGAAAGTTGAGAAATTCAAATTTCCTAGCATTTCCGACCCACTTAGCCCAAATTTCCTAACGTTTCCGACCCACTTAGCGTTTCCGAACGAATACGTCTGGAATAGCAAAGGTTCTGGGTTATTTATCTGCTGATTTGTTTCCTGCTTATTTATAGGCTTAGTTGTCATATCCTAAAATCCTTTTTAGCTGAGCACATTTTAATTTGACCAATTTTTGGAAATTTTGACCGTTTTTTGGAAACTTTGTCTTAACTCGAAAATTACCGTGCCAATTCATAGATTTAATGTTTAATCGAGAAACACGATTTTAGTAATTATCGTTACTTTAGTGGGCATGACCTTTTTTCACAAAAAAACTTATGGATTTCGAAAAGTCAAGTTTTTGAAATTTTGACAGTTTCTTTTAGAAAATCTTTGAATGAGTAGAAAATCTTAGAAGGGTTCAAACGAATAATTCGGTTGCGACAATTTTCCCTGCAGAAGTAGTGACTCCTTTGTTTTTTCCAAAGAGATGTTATGTCCATTGGAAAGTTTCTATATCTCAAAAACTTTCCAATCTCTTACTTATTTTTTTTTTGTAGAGAAACAACTAAGGTTTTGGACAAAGTACAATTATTGAAATTACGCAGCAGCCTAACAATTTCAAAAAGTATCAATCGTACCTCCAGCTTTAGCTGGGTACCTATTAGTCAACAACACCTAGTTTTTTTTCGCGGTTTGCTTTTTGATTTCTTTTTAAGTTCAGTTCGTTTCCTTTGTAACGAGGGCAAACTCCAATATCGAACAGCAATGTGTAAAGCTCACGAAAAACTTGACCGACTTTTGGTTCCCTGCGAAGTACATATTTTCATTTATAATCCAGTTTTCTCAAATTAGGTTACATCAAAAAAAGTGCCAGTCATAAATGTTCTAGAAATTCAACGAGCTTTAAGGGCATCTATTTTTTTTCTTTGAAATTCGAAAGTTGAGAAATTCAAATTTCCTAGCATTTCCGACCCACTTAGCCCAAATTTCCTAACGTTTCCGACCCACTTAGCGTTTCCGAACGAATACGTCTGGAATATGAAAGGTTCTGGGTTATTTATCTGCTGATTTGTTTCATGCTTATTTATAGGCTTAGTTGTCATATCCTAAAATCCTTTTTAGCTGAGCACATTTTAATTTGACCAATTTTTGGAAATTTTGACCGTTTTTTGGAAACTTTGTCTTAACTCGAAAATTACCGTGCCAATTCATAGATTTAATGTTTAATCGAGAAACACGATTTTAGTAATTATCGTTACTTTAGTGGGCATGACCTTTTTTCACAAAAAAAACTTATGGATTTCGAAAAGTCAAGTTTTTGAAATTTTGACAGTTTCTTTTAGAAAATCTTTGAATGAGTAGAAAATCTTAGAAGGGTTCAAACGAATAATTCGGTTGCGACAATTTTCCCTGCAGAAGTAGTGACTCCTTTGTTTTTTTCAAAGAGATGTTATGTCCATTGGAAAGTTTCTATATCTCAAAAACTTTCCAATCTCTTACTTATTTTTTTTGTAGAGAAACAACTAAGGTTTTGGACAAAGTACAATTATTGAAATTACGCAGCAGCCTAACAATTTCAAAAAGTATCAATCGTACCTCCAGCTTTAGCTGGGTACCTATTAGTCAACAACACCTAGTTTTTTTTTCGCGGTTTGCTTTTTGATTTCTTTTTAAGTTCAGTTCGTTTCCTTTGTAACGAGGGCAAACTCCAATATCGAACAGCAATGTGTAAAGATCACGAAAAACTTGACCGACTTCTGGTTCCCTGCGAAGTACATATTTTCATTTATAATCCATTTTTCTCAAATTAGGTTACATCAAAAAAAGTGCCAGTCATAAATGTTCTAGAAATTCAACGAGCTTTAAGGGCATCTATTTTTTTTCTTTGAAATTCGAAAGTTGAGATTCTTCCAACACACAAATCAGTATTTTTTCTGTTTACTTGCGTTCTTTGACGCTTTTCCAGCTGCTGTTGGTTATGTTCAAAATATTTCAGGATGCTTGTGGTATACAAGTTTTAAAACTTAGTTGCTCAAAGTTAGTCATTATTAATTTACTATGGCGTTTTTTTTTGTTTTCGGATGTGCGCGTCTTCGCAAGTATTTTGGGCTTATCAACAAATCGTTAAGGGATACTAAAAGCTTATTGATTGCTAATAAATGTGTGCCTGGACTGTTTTTCTGGAACTAAGTTAATCATTTTGTCAAAAAACCTTGTTTATCGAATATTTTGTTTGGCTCGGTTATTACTGTCTCATTTTGTTCCTTAGCTTGCAATGCTGTGCTTGCGTTGTATCGCAGGCGGAGCGAAGCTTTGCCTCTGTACTGAAGCCATTTCAGTCGTTTTTCGTTTTTCTGTTCGATTTTCCAACTAAGTTATTACGCTTGCGATTAGCAAGCGTTATCAAATCGGAATGTAGGCTTTGTTTTCGCGTTAATAACTAGTTAAACAAAATCAGTTGAATCACCTATGATGTTGTTGTTGTCGTTGTTAGCCCGAATCAATGGTGCAGCCTTCTCGTGGTGGACCCGACGCGCGACAAGTGGCCGCAAATGGCACCAAAAGCCGACATGCTCGATTTCATTGAAATTCAAATTTGAGCTCTTTTTCCTCCCCCCCCTCTACCTGCAAATTTGTACATGTAATATTGTTGACCACATTGTCCGATTTTTATGAAAATTTACATACAGACTAATAATGCCACGACGAACATATTTGGTCTTCATACTCAACCTCGTAAAACACTCTTTACACTAAAAAATTGATGCTCGTGTTAGGTGGGGAAAAGGAGAAGAGCCCAAATTTTACTACTGGGTGGGTACTAGTTACTACGGTAGTTTCAGGGGACTTTATAGAATCAGTTTTTTTTCCGGCTCAACTGGTGTCTGCTCAAAGATTGTCGGCCTTATTTCCGCTTCGTAAATTTTGCTGTTGCTTATTTGAATTCGAAATGTCTTGCGTGACATATTTCCTGTTTGATAAAAATAGGTCTCATAAAAAAGTATGGGGTTGGGTTTTTCATTTTACTTTTTTTTGAGACACTGGAAAAACACTTCTACTAATTTTTCTCGAATTCGTCTTGCTTTTCTCGAAAGCTAACCTTTCAATGAATAGTGCAGAATTTTGATTTTTTTGACAGTTTTTTGAAACTTGTTGTCTTTTCTCGACAACTACCCTGCCAAAGTTGTTTTTTTTGGGTCAATCGAACGGTTGGGTGAATATCTTCTGCATTAGTGGCTACGCCCAATTTTACAAAACAAAAAGTCATCGTTCGCGGAAATGTCAACTGTCTGGTATTTTGACCGTTTTTTGGACTTTTCTCGATAACATTGTTTAAATTAAAAGTATTAAACAAGCAGTATGTAACCGCACTTCGGCTAGGATTTTTGGATCGGTCTCCATACTGGTAAATTCTCTGTTGTGATCTGATTGAAAAAAAATCACGCGCATGCATATATATGTATATGTAAATGTATATTCATGCCTTCAATAGTCAGAGGCTTATCAGAAGCGCAGTTTAGACTCCTATATAGGTCCTGATGGTTATTTTTGGTCGGCGGCCTTAATTTCAAGGCATGATGGAGTTTTTTCTATGAATTACACTTTTATTTTTGACAGTCGTTGAGTTGTTTCGTCAATTTACAAACTCGGATTCTGAATTTTTGAATTTTTCGTATTGTAATGGTTTTGTCTTATGTTTTATCGGCATAGTCCACTTATTTTGTATAGTTTGAAAGTCAAAATTTAAATAATTTAGTTCAGACTCATATATAGGTGCTGATGATTTTTTTTTGGTTTTTTGTCATGAAAAATCTTAAAAGTTGCTGAGGCTCAAAATTCAAAGAGCTTTCAGGGCATCTATTTTTTTCTTTGAAATTCGAAAATTGAAATTTTTTAAAAAAAATAGCGTCTTATTTTTTTCTGTTCACTTGCGTTCATTGGCTCTTTTCCTACTGTCTGTTGGTCATGTTTTTGTGTCTCAGCCAATTATTCGTTCAAAGGCGACTGAACCTTCGATATGATCACGCTTGCGATTAGCAAGATTTATCAAATCGGAATATGGTCTTTTTTCGGGTTCACAACTTGCTTAGCAGAATCACTTGTATCTTGGTTCATAATGAATTCAAACTTCTATACGTGTCCTTGCTTTCCTGTCTGCTAGCTTGCATTGCTTTTTTTTCATGTTTTATTGCAAGTGGTGCGAAGCTCAGCTTCGCCTCTGTGTCAATTAATATCTCTATTTTAACTGGTAATATTCCCAGGATTTGAGTGAAATTAACTAATTTTTTGCATCCAATTGACGATCCGAAAGTACACATATTTCGGGAAAGGTTCCAAAAGTTTTTTTATCATCGCAGCAGATTGTGAAGCCACTTTTTGTTATGGTTTTTTCCCTTTATTCTCAATTCCACATTAAAATTCTAATCAATCTAAACGCTTAAAATAATTAACGTATTCAAAATAGCCGCAATTTTAAGCCGATAGGTTTTTTTTTCGAGGTGCTCTTATTTCTTGAAAATACGCTATATTCATCTGCGCGAGAGTAACAGCCGATGTATTTTTTTTCTTCAGGTGAATTTTGAACTCTATAATGATTCTACGGCGACGTTGTTACTGTCAAAGAAGGTTCAGGATTATTCAGACAATTCAATCTACGAGATCAGTTTTTGACTCGACAAAATCCGAAGCAGTCCTATCTCAGTTGAAGTTTCAGCCAAATAGTTTCGATTTTCCCTTGAGAAATGCCGATAATATTCCAGTCAAAGTGCCAGCTGTACACAAAACAGTTGGCTTCGAACTTCCGGCTTTTTTGGACAATTTGAGCCGATCAATTACGAACTGGAAAATATCAGACCCAGTTTCTAATAAACAAATAGGTCAAGCTGTAAACGAGCCCTCGGAGCTAGATAGACGGGTGGATCTACCGCCTTCTGCGAGAACTGTTGTGCCGATGTATGCTAGAATAGGCGGGAAGTACAAGCGACCTGCGTTCAAAAGACTGAGAATTAAAAGAAGGCATTTCAAAAAGGCTCGAAGGAAAAATCGACACAAGGTATTTAATTGCGACCGCAGTTTGTTTCTGTCTGCGTGTGTTTAACCATTTGTAAAAAAAAATCTCATATTCTGAGAGCTAATTTTTAGTATATTGAAATTGGTCTCTAGGTCAGGGTTGGAAATATTCTAAAATTCTAACATGTGTTTTATCAACTTGTTTTAAAATAACTGTAAAAGTTTTTAAATGATGAATGAAACACGTTTTTTTTGCGTGAAAACTGGGTGTTTCTTGGTATTTTAAAACGTGCCCAAAAATTTAAAGTTTATGCCTCTACTTTTGCTTTTTACACCGAAGACTTTAGTCAAGGTGTTATGGTATCGTGTAGCGGGTTTTTTTTTAAATGTTGTCTGTTGTCAAGTGTCGACAAATAACGTCCACAGTTATCAATTATCATGTGGGCTGGACTATATTGCGCTATGTCACGTGATTGCGTATGTTTGTTTCTTTATTTGTTCATCTTTATTTATTTAATTATCTGTTCTTCTATTTATTTAATTATGTTTAGTTTGCTTATATTTATTTATAATTTATGTATGTACATATTTTTTTTTGTTTATTTTTATCACGTGTTTTGTTTATTTATTTAATTATTCTTTCTTTCATTTAGTTTTGCTTTTATTATTTCTGCGTGTGTATTTATTTAATTTATTTATTTTCATTTATTTATATTATGGGTCTGTTTGTTTGGTTATTTGTTCATATATTTTTTTTCATGTCTATTTAATTATTTGTACATTTCACTTTTGCTTTTATTTATTTATTTATTTATTTATTTATGTATTTATTTATGTATTTATTTATTTATTTATGTATTGATTTATTTTTTTATTGCTTATTTATTTATCAGGTGTGTTTTGTTTATTTGTTGATATTTATTTCTATATTTATTTAATTATTCTTTCTTTCATTTAGTTTTGCTTTTATTATTTATGTATGTGTATTTATTTCATTTATTTATTTTCATTTATTCATATTATGGGTCTGTTTGTTTGGTTATTTGTTCATATATTTTTTTTCATGTCTATTTAATTATTTGTACATTTCACTTTTGCTTTTATTTATTTATATATTTCTTTATTTATGTATTCATTTATGTATTTATTTATTTATTTATGTATTGATTTATTTTTTTATTGATCAATGAACAGGTGGTTACAAAGTTTTAGCTGGTCACTGTATGATTTTCTGCCAGCAGCTCAACTGGTCTGTGTATACTTGTATTAGGTACACAGTTTTTTTTCAACTGCTGTGTATACTTGTATTAGGTACACTGTAGTTTCAATCAATTGATCTGTGTATACTTGTATTAGGTACACAGTTATTCTATTTCAACTTTTGTGTATACTTGTATTAGGTACACTGTAGTTTCAATCAACTGGTCTGTGTATACTTGTATTAGGTACAGTTTTTTTTCAACTGCTGTGTATACTTGTATTAGGTACACTGTAGTTTCAATCAATTGATCTGTGTATACTTGTATTAGGTACACAGTTATTCTATTTCAACTTTTGTGTATACTTGTATTAGGTACACTGTAGTTTCAATCAACTGGTCTGTGTATACTTGTATTAGGTACAGTTTTTTTTCAACTGCTGTGTATACGTGTATTAGGTAAACTGTAGTTTCAATCAACTGATCTGTGTATACTTGTATTAGGTACACAGTTATTCTATTTCAACTTTTGTGTATACTTGTATTAGGTACACTGTAGTTTCAATCAACTGGTCTGTGTATACTTGTATTAGGTACACAGTTTTTTTTCAACTGCTGTGTATACTTGTATTAGATACACTGTAGTTTCAATCAACTGATCTGTGTATACTTGTATTAGGTACACAGTTTTTCTATTTCAACTGCTGTGTATACTTGTATTAGGTACACTGTAGTTTCAATCAACTGGTCTGTGTATACTTGTATTAGGTACACAGTTTTTTTTCAACTGCTGTGTATACTTGTATTAGGTACACTGTAGTTTCAATCAACTGGTCTGTGTATACTTGTATTAGGTACACAGTTTTTCTATTTCAACTGCTGTGTATACTTGTATTAGGTACACTGTAGTTTCAATCAACTGATCGTGTATACTTGTATTAGGTACACAGTTTCTTTAGTTTAACTGATCTGTGTATACTTGTAATAGGTACACTGTAGTTTCAATTAACTGGTCTGTGTATACTTGTATTAGGTGTAAAACAGGAGGCGTTTTGCTACACATACAAACACAATCTTTTGTATTTTATTATAGCTATAGAAATTGATCTACAATGCGTAAGTACGACATTTAGTTCTACGATTGTTATTTCAGGTCCTTTGTCAATATTTCAGGCTCTTTGTCAATATAGCAAAATTTTGGTGTATATATGTGTTAGTAAGATTTTTAGTTCTACAACGTTTATTCAGGCTCTTTGTCGATATAGCAAAATATTGGTGTATACATGTGTTAGTACGATTTTAGCTCTAGAATTGTTATTTCAGGCTCTTCGTCAATATAGCAATATTTTAGCGTATACATGTGTTAGTACCATTTTTAGTTCTCGAACTGTTATTTTATGATCTATGTCAATATATCAAAATTTTAGTGTATACATGTGTTATTACGATTTTTAGTTCTCGAACTGTTATTTCATGATCTTTGTCAATATATCAAAATTTTATTGTATACATGTGTTAGTACCATTTTTAGTTCTCGAACTGTTATTCCATGATCTTTGTCAATATAGCAAAATTTTGGTGTATACATGTGTTAGTACGATTTTTAGCTCTAGAACTGTTATTCCATGATCTTTGTCAATATAGCAAAAATTTGACGTATACATGTGTTAGTACGATTTTTAGCTCTCGAACTGTTATTTCATGATCTTTGCCAATATAGCAAAATGTTGGTGTATACATGTGTTCGTACGATTTTTAGCTCACGAACTGTTATTTCAGGCTCTTGTCAATATAGTAAAATTTTGGTGTATACATGTGTTAGTACGATTTTTAGTTCTAGAAGTGTTATTTTATGATCTTCGTTGATATATCAAAAATTTAACCTATACATGTGTTAGTACGATTTTTAGTTCTAGAACTGTTATTTCAGGCTCTTTCTCGATATAGCAAAATTTTGGTGTATACATGTATTAGTACGATTTTTTGTTCTAGAACTGTTATTCTTCAATTATTAGTTGTTCAATTTGTTTGGTTTTTGCTTCAGTTTCTATGCCTTCGGTGTATTGCGCGTAGCGCCTATGTTAAAAACCTTGACAAGTTTCACTGTTGACCTGAAAAAATTCAACTTGTGCTTGGGTGAAAAATATTTGAACAGTTTGTGAGAGTTTGAACAAATTTTCTTAATTTTGATTGCTTTACTCTGACTACGATACCATAATACCACCGTTAATATCACACCAGATTTGACCCCCTACGAGCTTTTTTGAGGTAATCAAAATTGCGCGGAAAAATTAAGGTTATTCATAGTTTCCTACCACCCAGGGTTGTCGGAACAAAAACGCATTATTTCGTTTTCCCCGTATAAATCAAATCAGTGTAGCATCTGTAGAATCGAAGTGTTCAAATCTCAAATTAAAGTATTGTTTTTTTTTAGCTGAAACAGCGTGAAATTTTGAAGCGACAAGAAAATCTGAAGAAGTGGAATGAACAATTGGAGGTTGTTCGGGTTCAAGAGATTCAAACGAGGTCACGCATTGAAGAAATGAAGGACACTCAGCGGGAGTTGGTGAACAGAATCCAAGAGATGATTGATCAAAACCCTGAGCTGTTGAACAAAATAGAAGAAAGCGTAGATCCCGATATAAAAGAGAAACTGAGAATTATGAACTCGGTGGAAAAAGTTGTGACTAAAGAGGAAAAACTTATCCAAAAAATTTATAAGAAAAGATAATTTGAATATTGGTCTTTGAATAAATTGTTATAATGGACGTTTTAACAAATATGAAAAAATGGTCTGGGTCGGGCGGATCTAAGATTTTCACGAGGAGGGGCGGATTTTCTTTAAAATCGAAAATTTTGTCGACCTTTTTAGGGCGACTAAATTGATTTTCCGAGCACTTCCAGAACATTATAAAGACCCTATTTTGACCAAAATTTCTGCGCCGCAGGTGAATTTTTGAGAAAACGGGCCTTAAAAAGCGTTTTATGCACTCTGGAAAATTTTAACTTAAAGTTAGTTTGTTTCGGCGCGCGCACACCTTCAAAATTAGTATATATTGGAAAAAGTATATATTGTATTTATTGGAAAAATTTAAAGGTTGGGTGACCAAAAAGGGATGTAAAATAGCACCAAAGGGGGCCCTTAAATCCGCTTTTGAAAATGAACCTGAAGATTCAGTACAAAGAATGAATGATACAAAGAATATTGATAGGTAGTTTCTTCGATACGAAGATTTTACTTTCGCGCATGCTATCTTAGACCAGCCAGAAAAAAACTAACAATTGAAATTAGTTTTGTTTTCTCGCATATCCCGAAGAAAAGTGTTTTTTTTTTTGGCTGGAGGTTAATTGGCACAGAAATTTCGTCCAAAGACTCAGCCAGTTTGAAGTTCAGACAAATCAGCCCTAAAATCAAGATGATTCATGGAATTTTCCAATCGGCAAATGTCGGACAAAATAATCGAGAAATTAGTCCACAGATGAGGTAGTAAAGTGCACAGATCAGTGTTGGCCCATGAATCTACTATGTCGCAGTTAAATACAATGGGAGTAAACTAGCCACAACCCGATGAAGTGAGGCCAACAGAACACGCCGTGAGAACAATTGAATAATTATTATGATAAATTGCATACATTTATACCAACTACCCCAACAAATACAGTGCTGATTTAAATTATCCGGACCAAACGAACAAAACTTGAACTTTCAAACGCGTTTTTCTCAAATTGGGTTAAAATTAGACAAAAGGTGAAGAGGACAAAAGTTGCTTAGAATTTCACCAGAATTAATATGGTGCCATGCGTAAGAGGCTTCCTGTGATATAATTTTCATATCAATTAACAAAATAGTTTCAGCGTAATTCTTGATTAATTGAAAAAAGCCAAAATGACCCATTTTTGGGGTAAAATTTTTGTTGAGAATTTCGGAGAAAAAATGGCACCATATTAATTCTGGTGAAATTCTAAGCAACTTTTGTCTTCTTCACTTTTTGTCTAATCTTAACCTAATTTGAGAAAAATGCGTTTGAAAATTCAAGTTTTGTTCGTTTCGTCCGGATAATTTAAATCAGCACTGTATACTGCTTGGGTCCGTTTTACAGATGTCTCCAAGACTAGGTCGGCTAAAAATTGCTGGTGCAAAGTTATCTACAGAGATGATAAGAAACAGATCGTAATTCTGACAAATAGACCCCCCAACCACACCCCCCCCCCCCACGTTGCTTAAACGTGTTACGGTTTACAAGGTTTTTTTGTTTCATTTGTTGCAGACTGCTGGTAATAGTCACATTACTAGCATACGCCAATGGTTAAGAGGATAATGTCTCTGCCTCGTCGGTAGCATCGACGCACACAATGGATTGTGCTCGTTAATTGAGAGGGAAAAATAACCCTGTCAACAAAGATAAAAGATTGCATGCAAGCTGGCACGGAACTAAAATTATCTCAAGTTTGGAAAATTTTCAAAACAAATTTGAAAATTTTGAGGAGCTGGTTTGTTAGGTTGACTGAATTTATTTCTCGACCTCTCCCAAAATAACGACGCAAACCTATTTTGCCATCAAATTCTGTGCGGCGCCCGCCAGTTTTTTTTTAACCTCAGGCCAAAAACAGACATTTTTTTGAATTAAAACAAAAGCGATCGTTTTTGCAGCGAGTATATTGGTGCCCTTAGAAAAATAACAGGATTGGTCGACCAAAAGTTGATGTCGCAAAATATTACCATAAAGAGACCCTTTGGATCGTCAGGAAAAATGACAGTTTTCTGTAATGTGTGCGTGAAGCTATGATACGCTGTCCAATTGAACCTGTTTTTTTTTTGTCAAATTGTTTTTTTTTTTCAAAACTTTTGGCTCGAAGAAAAAAATGCAAGACTTAAAAAATTTTGGTTTATGTATGTAGTAGGTTCCGAAATTAAGCTTTTCTTCTCATTCTCAAGTTACCCCTGAAGTTCCTTGTAAAGGTAAATTGGCGGCCTAATTACACCCTTTGAAAAAGTTTTGATAGCTCTTAGTAAAAAAAGGAACGCCTTAATTGTGTTCTAATTGGCAGCTGATAATGTTAATTGAGAAGAGCGAGAGTTAGAATGAGTCTTTACTCATTCGCACTTCACTGTTTTTACAATAGCTGTGAGCTCATCAGTTTGTTGACACCCTTGAAACGAGCTCGCCTCATTAGTCAAGGGATAGTAAAAGGATAGATGACGCAGTTGAATGAAGCAGAGGTGACAATTTCACACCTGTGCTGAACCAGCATTCTGAAAAATTAATTTCATTATTTTCTGACTTAAATTCACAAAAAGTTGACCAAAATTTCATCAGTATCAAATTATTTCAAATTTTGAACTGAAAATAAAATTTTGACTCTTAAGTTAAACCAAATCTGGAAACAAAAATTCCATATCCTCGACATTTAGTAAAAACTTGGACATCAACAAAAATGGAACACCAATCTGAAATTCTACCCCTTTTGCCAAACTTTGCCTCGGAGCAAAACAATGTTCCTCAAAATCAAACCTCATATGAAGGAAACATCCCCGAACAAATTATTGCTGACGACTTTTTCAACAGTCTGATTGCTACTAACCCAGAACCTGTCTCGGCTGAAGTGACTAATCAGGAGGTCAATGACCGAAATGAGGTAGAAGAGAGTGAACAATCTTCAGTTCAGCAGGAAGAACAGCAACCTTCAGCTGAAGAAGCAAAAGTTCAGGATTCGGAGGGTGGTCAAGAAACATCTCAAGACGGATTGGCGAAGCAGAAACGTAATAGGACCAATTACTCACCACAACAGGTAGTTATTCTAAATTTTTGTGGGCAGGTAGCGCTATTTCATTTTGAATGAAAAATAAGATCCAAGAACTTTGGCATGTTAAATACCTGTTTAAAATACACTTGTTCGAAAAGCAAAAAATATCTTTCAAAGCAAAAAAAAAACAATGATTTTCACAATAAATTACAATAGAGGCTAGGAGTTACGCGATAAAAACCCTAATAAACATTTTCCTTAGTTTCCATAAATTAGTGGTGCAATTAGTGTTTCTATTTTTAGGTGGATGTATTGGAGATGACATACGTTCAACACAACAGATATCCAACTCCAGAAGTGAGAGAACTGGTTGCCAGGACACTTCAACTCAAGGACTCGCAAGTCAGGGTAAGATGAGCTCCTCAGTTAATTAAATTAGTATAATTAATACCCGTTTATTCAAATTAGCTTCTCAACTTAAAACAGTAAATCAAAGCACAAAATGAAGCAAATTAAGAAAAAGCAACCTAACTTATTTTAAACTTAAGTACCAATGAAAAAATTTGAGAAACACTAAAACCTGGAAAACATGTAGCTTATGTTTAAATCATTGGACTTAAGTGAACTTTTGATATTGTTTAGATTTGGTTCCAAAACCGAAGAGCTAAGGATAAGAGACGATCGGCCGCCATGATTGTCCCGTCAGCACCAGCTATACAGAACATCAACAACAAACCCGACTTCATTCAAAACAACTTGATGACCAACAATATGTTCTCGCATCAAGTACCTGTTTCAGTGAACATGCAAATGATGCCTCAGCTTCCAAAATCCGAACCGACTAGCATCCACGGAAATTGGAGAGCAATTGACTTCATGTTGCCGACATTTGAGTCCCAGAAAGCCCTCAAAGATGCCTCGACGTGCTCCTCATCATCGGCAAAAGTATCCCAACATAACATGTCTGGGTTTGTTCCGATTGCTCCTGCAGCTAACTTGGATGCCCCACCCAATGTGAATTTGTTCAACTTCGAATGGAACAAATCTCAGAACCAGATGCCGCCTGCTCAAAATATCAATCAAGGATTCACTGCCAACAACAATGGATACCCAATGAAGCAGGAACTGGAAAAGCAACAGAGCTACCAGTTTACTAAGTGAGTGAAACATTTTCATACAACTATAAAACTCTCACAATGGTATAATGAGGTTTTAACCGAAAGATTAAAATAAAAATGATTCAAAAACTGAAAAAAAAGACTTAAGTAGTTGTCAAAACTACCTGATTTTTTAATTTTGATTTCAATCCAAATTAATATGATTGTTAGCTCAATGGCGCATCACCAGTTTTGGCCCAACTCCTTCATGCCTCCTGAATTGATGACTTTCAGCCCCCCTTTCTTCGCCCCCAATCATCACCAGCCCCAGTTCGACTTCACCATGTCGCCTTCCTCGTTGCCTCAGAAATTCCCCGCCAACGGACCCAACAATCACAACGGACCCCAACCATTTCACCCGAATACGATATACACCCCCGTTACAGTATCAGGACACCCTATGCTTTCATCAGGGGGGTACCACCATCAAGCAATGGCACATAAAATGATGGGACCAGTTGTGAACAACCAATTGACCAATCACAGTGCGATGACGTCATCGTCAGTTGAGTCACCTGTCTCGAGAGAGTATGTCGCCAATACACCAGTGATTTCAGTGGCAACTGTTCAAGACGAGACGTTTCAAACAATGTCCCCTTTCAACGACTATGTGCAAAGCCCACACAATTAGAAACATTTTAGTCGACTCTTCAAACCAATTTTGACACCAAATCAGATTAACTTCTCGACATTGCGTTTACACGCGCTAAGAAAATGTTTGTGTGAATCAAAAACTTTGTTTGACCCTTTTAAAACCATTTAATTATGTTTAACATTAAGATGTATAAATGTTTATTTACAAATATTTTGAAATTCTTGACTTCAATTTGATATATTTATAAATTCCTGACAAAATGACATTCTGT